GGTTCTACTGGTCCCGCTGGCCTCGCTGACAATTGTATCATAGTCGGATCTGTGAGTCTACCAAGTTCGTGGTTGCCCATCCTAGTCCGTAAGTCGCCACAATTATGGACCGGCTTGCCATGCTAATGTCGTTGTTAGAGCGCTGTGAACCCAGATTACACAGTATGGCTGTGTGATTCCATGCGGAAGACAGTCTACCACTATTTCGAGGTTTGTCTGAACTGTCAGTGTGTGTCTACGACACATCGACCTTTCCTTGGGTCATCGTTGGCTACCTGTAGTAGTTATTTGATGAATGCATTCCCATTTTCTCTTTTTTGATGGTTTCTTCCATAGGCCGACACCGGACTATGATGAACTCTGAGTACTACTGAGTGCTATGGGTGCCGTGAAGCTATGAAGCTATGGCGGGTATATAAGCCTCACGCCAAGCTATGGTTAACTCTGTAGCAGTCTGTAGCTCCTGCCTGTCCCTACAAACCAGGGACTTAGCTACGGGGCTACCGTGGCTATCTTGGCTATATTGTGCTCGGTTGCAACCTCGTTTTTTCCTGATGTAGAGCTTATTGGCAATTGGTGAAATATTTTGTACCGATGAAAAATGGTGCTAGCTGGACCTACGAGAGCTTGCTCCGGCTAGAGTAAGCGTAAGATAAGGTAGACGCCCGATGGAGGACATCTTCGGCCACTTGAGGGAACCCGTTAAGACAAACGCGCGACGCTACGTTACATGTCAGTCACACTATGTAGCACCACGTGAATCCCTTGATCCGAGGCCAACTCCGGATAACTCCGCATTGAGCTCGCACCCCCTACCCCACGCACAGGGTAAATCCCCAACAAGGGGACCGTCTGCACATGCCTTTCATCCCCGGTTTTCTAGGCCCGCTTTGTGGTGTTAGGGAGCCTGTGGCCCTGGTTCTTCGCTTCAAACGGCTCTTTTTCGACTTTGAAAGCTTATTCCCCCATTCTGAGGGTGGATCTTCACTGAGTACTCAATTTTCATATTTTTATGTAGTGAGTCCAACTGTGCTTCCGGGTGGTTCCCGGGGGGCATGGGGCTCTATAATTCCATCTATTTTCTATGCTGCGCATGCACCTGGGTGCATGCTTGACCTCTGTCACCGCGAGGTCGTTCAGTCCATTCCCACCCTTTTTCTATCTATTTTCGTCGGATACACCTGGGTGTATTTGAATTCTCGATGCAGAGATATTGTTTGGCACGATCTGCTTGGCGATCATCTGTGCAAGTGGGTCGGGAGGGCACTCCAGGATCCCCGGGGCTCGCTGGAGGTGTCTCTTTTAGCTCTTCTATCTTAACTGCCGAGCATAGATCGGTCTATGTTATGATTTCCTGCGTCTCGAATTTGTTCGGCCTGGTCTGGATGACTATTGCGCATATTGCGCCACCATCCAGACCGATGGGGTGGGACCCATTATTCATACCTCCTCCTCTCTTCCTCTGCACCACTCCTTTTTGGTGTTTTGGGTCTCTTCGATTTGCCCTTCAAACGAGCTTTGCTCTTGGGAGCGTTGCTCCGGTGTAGCATTTCTCGGGCTTCATCTTCATGTCCCGGGAGTGCCTTGTGTACGAGATTGACCGCGCGATCCAGAGCAGTTCATTTGGGTGAGTGCCCCTGTTCTGGATCGGGCCGGCGGGCTTGTCACTCACCGGTAGTGTCATCTCTTCCAAACCGATAACTCTCCCAATTTTTGGCATACTCGTCAGATTCGCTCTGACTTACATATCTGGCTTTCGTACTGTATTACATGCTCGCTCATCATTTCTAGTATTTATCCAGAGTCCTCTCAACTAGTCTACCTTATTGAGCTACTTGATCAAAACTGGCTCCACAAAATCTCCACAGCCTGTTTTGCAGGTTCTGCGCTCGAAGCCGGGAGTCTGTGTGGCCCTCTTAAAAGTCAGTGGTTGCTGAGACCATGCAGATGGTTGGGCTATCCAAAAAAAATAGGTGCGCATGCGTTGTTTTTGGCCAGAAACCGGCAGAAAACCAATTACTTCCGGTATCAGTTACGTGGAAATCAAGAGCCACAATCGAAACGGAGACGTTGATAGTATAATGTGTTTTTCATCACTAGTCTGTTAGTTACCGCGTCAATTACCCGGCGGCCGGCGTTATTATGTAATATTAGATCACGTGGTTCACTCACCGACGCGACTTGGACGCGTTTTCGGGGTCGTACTAGGCTGTACTCGTGTTTTGGCATTCCAGAGTACTTAAGCATCTTTTGGACCTTTTTTCTATGGTGACCGGACACCTGAACACCCCATTTGAAGATCCCCGTCCAAATTTGGGTGTTCCCTCACAAAACAATCCAGTTTTCGTGTTGAGCAGAAATTTATATCATGGAGTGTTTCAATACACTCTTAATAGACCTTAGAGGTCTATTCAATGTTTTCCATGTGAATGGAGGGCAAGAAACGCGTCCAAGTCGCGTCGGAGCGCGTGCACGTGAGTTCCCAAAATGGAAGCTTATATAATAACACAGGCTACCGGGTATCAGAGCGCGGTAACCAACAGACTTTATTGAGCGAGGAACGAGCTAGGTACAATAAAGTGTCTGTCAAGAGAGACTACTTGCCAATAAGCTCTAATCAGAGTCTATGTATTCAGATTTCCAGCCATTTTGAACACACTTACATATCAGAGTGAGAATTCTTAGCCCTTAGCAGAATTTAAGGTGCAGCTGTTTTTTTTCTGTTTGTGGTAAGTTTTCACCAGAACAGCAATTGCAAGCTCAAATCTCAACAGTTCTCTCTGGAAATAGGCTCATTCAATTCGCGCTGAAATTCCGCAGGGCCCTGTGTATTACAACTTGTTCTAAGCATCTCAAAATAATTCACCCGTTCAATTTTCGGTGTTTTTTACTATCTGACATGAGAACATGTTCTATAGTAGCTATAGTGTATGGCGGTCCGGATGCACTTTTATTCCCGGCCCCGCAAACTTTTGACCCCGCCCCGCAAATTTGCCTTTTTTGGCGTCCCCGCACGCGATTTTGGCAGTTTGATCACGTCAATATGTTTTGCGCGGACGGCATGTTCCGCCCCGCGCAATTTTGGCCCCGCGCGCGCGAAAATCTGAACTTCCGCGCGCGCGCGCAAAACTTTCTTTGGTGATCCCCCCGCAAAAATTGACTTGATGAGCCGAAGGTGTGAGATTAATTTCGGGATAAGTAAGGTACAAGTGGGATATGATTAAGAGACTGTGAATGGTATTAGAGGAAGGTGAGGTCCAATGGGAGGCAGGGAAGCCAGCGGCGGGCACGGTCAGGCATGTTGATAGACAACCATGTTCAAATACGGAATCCTTATGAAGGTACATAGACCTCACCTTCCTTTAATACTATTCACACTCTCTTAACCACCGTCCTACCGATCCCACTTGTACCTTATCCCGAATTCAATCTCAGACGTTCAAGTTGCTCATCCTGCAGCTCAAGGAGCGGATGCCAAGCAAGCTCGCCATAATCCTCCTCCATACAGCTACACGTCGGCCACACGATTCTCAATAAACACCTGTACCGTATCAAGCGCACGGAATCCCTGTTACTACAGGGAAGATGAGACTGTCAATCACGACCTCCTACACTGCCCTGCCCATGCCAACGCCTGCGCAGAGTTGCACCATCTCGGTGGAGGCGACTCACGCACCCTCGAGAAGCTCCTTACCCTCCCAAAACTCCTTCCATTCCTGTTTCAGTTCATTGCCCGCTCCGGACGCTTCCACACTGTCTTTGATGAGATACCCGACCTCCCGCCGCTAGAAACCCCCAGAGCAGCCGTGAACACATCGCGGAGATCACCACCATACCCATGCCAGCTGGGCTCCTCCCTACCCATATCCCTCGCGGTGTTGGGCCAGACTGGGTGCTGTCCGCATAGTTGTATTTTTCATCCTTATAGTATAATTTACTTACAGGTGGCCGTGTGCCCCTTTTAGTTTGCGAAACTTCCCCGCTTACAACGTGTTCTGTGCGTTCTGAGTGATGACTCCGTATCGAGTAGAAATGTTTACTAGATAGCTTCCTAGCTACACACATACAGAGAAATCCCTACTATATTGTACGCGACGATGGGGAAATAAAACTGAACTGTAACAAAAAAAAGCCAATTTTGCAGGGGGGATCACCAAGAAAGTTTCATGCGCGCGCGCGGAAGTTCGAATCGCGCGGGGCGGAACATGCCGTCCGCGCAAAACATGTTGACATGATCAAATTACCAAAATCGCGCGCGGGGACGCCAAAAAAGGCAAATTTGCGGGGCGGGGTCAAAAGTTTGCGGGGCGGGAATAAAAGTGCATCCGGACCGCCATAATAGTGCTCCGATTGGCTCAGATTTTTTAATAGGATGTAATTGGGATAGTGAATGTAACTTGTCCTTCAAATATACAGCTCAATAGGGAGATTCACTTGTCAATGAAAACTCTTATACCCTGCGCGATCTCAACTTCAGATGATAAAATATATACTTTTTTTTTTGGGTGTGCTACTCATCGCGAAACACCGTGTAGTGCTTGCCAGCCTGCACACAAACTTTGATTCAGAGTTTTGATTACTAGCTATGCAGGCGCAAAAATGGGGGCCTCTAGTTATAAAACAGCGCAGAGTTGTCTTCTTTCTTTCACCTTAGCAACTTTGCATGATGGTCTTTCACGGAGTTCGAGCTCAATGTGTGCCTCAACCCAAATTTTTCTTTGGGGTGTCGGAGTCCGAACATATTGATCCAATCACTAGTTAGTGGGCTCTGCCGCAAAGCGCGCTACGATTGTTATTTCATTAAACGGTCGAACATGCGAGACTAAGTTGCAATTGAGAACAAACAAGTACAAAGCCGCCGGATCGATCAACGGCGGTGCCCATCCCCATTGTCAGAAAAAAAGATAGCCTTGTGACCTTGCCAACTTGCGACCTTTTTGGCCCTTTTTTGATCTTGTAAAAGCTCACAAGCTAATTGTAAAAAGTATGGTGAAGAATGAGGACCCGGCCCCGAATTGAACGTGGGACTCCTGCAGACACGCCGTCGTCCAAAATGTGAACAATAAGCAGGTGTGTTACCATTACACTACCGGGCCATACCTACTCCCAAGCTACAATGGAATAGAATGGAAACGACGGAACGAGATTCGCGTCGTGAACAGCTGGAACGCTACGAAAACCAAAAAAACCAGTTGTTTGATATAAATGACCCGGGCCCGAATCGAACGAGCAACTCCCGCTGACAACAGAGCTTGGAAAACATGATTGCAAGCAGGCATGTACCATACACCACTGGGTCTTGGCTTCTGCCCATCTGCAATGGAATAGAGCTACAGGCGCTCTAAGCGCCCGATAAGCGCCCAGCGTACTGAGTTTGAATCTGCAGCGCTCATATAATATTGCACCAAACATCGAGGACCATGGTCACGGTGCCATCCGAGAAGAACATCGCACCCAGCCCGCGCTGGACTGGAAGCCAAAGAGAAGCGCCAGCGCCAATCGGTACCCCCACTCACCTTGGCATTGTCTTGCAGCTTGCTCCAAGTAGGCTGCCAGCGGTCGTGTGGTCCTTCGCCGCTCTTTCCAGGTTCAGAAAACTGAATGCGAAATCTTTAAAAGTCTTTTTATCAAAAGCGCCACGATTGAACATGGTGCTGCTCCGCAGAGTGCTGAGGTTCCGTCGCACCCTGCGAGCCCGAGGTCAGAGAGCAAGCGCGCTTGAATTTCTATGATAAGATGAAAAAGACATGAGTTACAAAAAGAACGACATGCAAATAAATTGGCCTAGCTATGAATCGAACATAGGACTCCATGCGGTAATTTAATATCGAGGAAATAGAACATGGCGTGTTACATTAGGCCCCCGGTCACTTACGCCTAGGTCGGTCCGATTTTCGACAAAGATTTTGACTGATTTACTCTATGAAATTTGGCCTTTCGAGGGCTGTTTTACTCTATGTCGGACCGATTTTTACCCCAAAAATATTCGATTTTCCACCTCGCGGCATTTTTTTGGCCCATTTCCCATCTTTTAGCCCGTATTCGCGGTCCCAAGCATTGTGGCTGAGGATTTAGATCAATCTGCGAGTTTCAGTAATTTTTTTGCTACCCATGCTTCTCAAAATTTTCCCGCCTGCGGCGCGATTTACTCTATGGCAGACCGAGTTCGCCCATCTGGACGCTGATTTACTCTATACCACGGACCCGAAAACACCAAATTTCGGGCACTGATTTACTCTATCTCGGACCGACATAGGCGTAAGTGACCGGGGGCCTGTTACATTACACTACAAGGCCGTGACACAGGTCGAGTTAGGAACGCCTATGTACCCTTCGTCGGCGCCTAGGCTTCCCGTCCGCCGCGCTAATCATATCCTCCGCCTCGAATATGCCGCCCAGCCAAGATCGACGACATGCGCTGTGGACGGTGTGCGACAGTCCGCCAATTTTCCTCGAAACGCCACCTAGTCGTCATGGCCCCGAGAGTGCCCTCGGGAGGCCCTTCTTCTCATCCTCAAGCACATTTCCACCCCAGGTTCTAGTCATTCATTCTCTTCCACGTATCCCCTGCCTCCCGGACTCGTTCCGCATTGTCTCCTCTCATACCATCCATCCATACTCTCTCATTATACTCCGGAGCACGCTCGCATATCCATCCATTCTCCTTCCTCCTTCCTCACCGTCCGCATCCGCATCCGCATCCCTCTCTCGCGCCCCTTCCTTCCTCATCCACGTCCGGTCGTTTCCCCATCCCCTCCATATGCTGTATACTGACTATACGCCTCTCCCAGGTTACGCCTCCCAGCATTCTTTTCTTCGCAAGCTGCAGACGATGGAGGACGGGGGAGAAGGGATGAAGGGTATACGACTGGAGAGAAAGAAGAACTGGACGCCGCTGCGGCGGGCGGCGGGCGTCTGATGCGCGGATGGAGGAGGTCGCCAGGAGCGGTCCCTGTGCGGCGATCCTCTCCGATGTATCTCGAAGCCGTGCTGTGGAATGCGCCCGCGCTCGCTGTAGGCCCGGGGATGCAGAGACACAATCACGGATCCTGCTCCCGGATCGCGCGCCATGCAGTCGTGCTAGGGGGCGAGGACGTGTGTCGCGTGGTGGAAGGATTCAGTGGAAGGGCTATGCAGCGTGGCTATCAGAATAGACTTTTCCTCCTCCTGGATCCCCGCACCACCTCCCGAATCCGCTTTTTTTCACCTCCATCCCGTCCGGGAGGAATCCATGCATCCTCGATTCACCACTCCCGACGCCGCTTCCGTATCGCAATCCCGTCCAATCTGTCTCTCACCACATCGCTATGAGCTGTCCCGCACGCCCATCCTCCATTATGGCGCAATCTCCTCCGATCTGTACCCAAATCCCCCGGCCGACACCCCTCTATCTGTGCTGGGCGCGCAGCGGAGGCGCCATGTCCAAACACCTCCGACACACCGTCCGCTCGTGTCCTTGCGAGTGAACTCATCCGGCGTCCGACTTGCGTCGAATCCGCCCGTACGCCGCCATTGAGTACCTGCGTACCCTCCGCCGTCGTGCGGGAGCGCGAGCCATCCACACGACCGGGGCAGGTTCCTGCATCCTCCCCCCCCCCTCTCCCTCCCTTCTTGGGAGCCTCCTCGTCCCTCGTCGACCACTTCGCACGTCCTTTTGCTGCGACGTGGCAATCACGTGATCTCCGAGTCTTCCAAGCTCTGATTTCCGAGTGTGCGTGCGGCGAGACTAGCCTCTTCCCGGGGGCCAGCGGTCGTACCTGGAGTGGAGAAAACAACCCCGCACTTTAGTAGCCGCCGCCACTCATTCACGCACCGCGGCCTCGACGATAAAGACGGGCCATACACACAGCATTTGTTCCCCTCCGCACACTAAATCCGACACCTACGCGCCCGTTCCCGCAGATCCCGCTCTCGCACCCGCTCCCCCAGCGGGCGCCGTAGCCTATCTCATCGTCTACATCCCGAGTACAGTTACACTCGCGGCACATACATCTCCCTCATCTTCCTCGGCTCCCCCCGCTCTCCGTCCAACGCCGCACACGCATCGTCTCGTTCGACGCCTTCCCGCTGAAGCTCCACAGTGCTGAGGCACAGCTCCGCGAGACGCTCATGCAGCGGGTGAAGAAGTGGATCGAAATTACTGGGTTGCACCACATGCAGTACAGCGGAGCGGGATCACAGCACTGAAGGTTATGGGCACGTTGATGCGTGACAACGTAAGTATCGATATCTTCTCCGATCTTTCACGATCATGCTAATTCCCTGCTCCAGGTCACGGCTAACCTAACTCGTCAGCGGTGCTCCCGGGGCAGGCGTTCGACGACAGCGCGCTCGTGCGTGCGCAGGCGAGGGGGACACCCGAGACTGCTGCGGCAGAGCTGGCGGCGGAGGAGCCGCTACTGACGCCAACGGCGGTGTGTGGTTTCAGTTTGGGTGATAAGATCTGGCGTTCGTACTTCTCACTGTTTTGTGTCTGTATTTTCCACATCTATCCTTATCTTCTTGGTCTATTACTGGGTATCCAATAAATCTTTAGCTTACATTCCCCATTTCTGTTGAAGGACTCGGAGCCGGCGTGGTCCACAGCCATGCTGGCACTTCACGATCCATTCCATGCGCAACGAGGGCTCGTTTTACGCCTCGGGTTGCATCTCTATGACTCTCTGTGCGCGTATTTATCGCCCTACCTGCTGTCCAATCAAAATTAATATTGTTCGAAGACGATTCGAATCTCGATTGATGGTTGGTTATACCGCCGTCCTTATTTCAGCCCCCGAGTCTCCCTCCTTCCTCCGCCTCGTTAAGAGAAGAGACGTCGCTGCATACATACATACAGGTCTTCCTGCCTGTCAGTGTGACACAATCGGCGACGTGCTTAGTTAATATCGTTACATCCCATTATCCCGCGTCCCCATAATCCAACGTACTTCGACTCCAGAAGACAATCAGCCTCTCCGCCAATCCCTATATCGTATATCTGGCTGGGAAAGGCTTAAAATTCCGCGAAAAATAAATTAATCAGTACTGGATATGAAAAAGGCGTATGTGGTGGGAATCGGATACCTCCGTCCACGTTCGCCAGTTATCCGCCAGGGATACGCATCCGCATCCGCCGTCTGAGCAGGAAATTACGAGTCCTAAAAATTTATTTTTAGAATCGTTCTTTAGGAACTATGACTCCGCAAATTTCTACCTCGACATACCACCGAAACTTGACTTAGAAGTCAACATCTCGACAATTGATCGATCACTTATTCCCTTAATTGGGTCCTTGGCTGTGCGCGTCTTCCCTTATTCGTGTCTCGTGCAGTGCTGGGTACTATGGATACTGTGGACTTGTTGCTTTGCTATTCTTGTTTGCACCGCTCTATTCTCAGTTCCTTTCGGCCCATTGATCCGCGCAATCTGATAGAGGGCCGATTTTTAGCAAGATCTCGTGGGTCGCGAACAGATAAGTTATTTTGTGGCATCCTTGCGTGATAATGACGCGCAATCTAACCTCGTTGTTTATGCAGATATCGAGTAGAATCTATGCTGTTCCCTTTGTGAAAAAAAATTCAAACGCGAGGACCTTTATGATGTTCCGTCAGCGAGACATTTGGGACTAGGGAGAGATGCTCAATTGACCTGTGAGATATCCCAGAAAGACAGATATGATATAACCCCACGAGATATATGTGAACTATGGCGTTCACTTTGCACATTTATTCCCGCACCACATTTTTTCGATGCGCACCACATTTTCTTGATGTGCACCACACTTTTAGCTGTCTTCCGAACGCACAACATTTTCTGATTGCCTTATTGGGCATTTCGGCCGATGCCGGGTGATCAGATCAACGCACGTGCTGATGTGCCCACGCGTTCAGGCGCGTCGCCACGTACACATAGCCAAACTAGTTGGGCTCGACCTCCCGCCAACCGGTGTAGCTGATTCCTCCGCACATAAGAGGTTCCACCCAAAGGCTTTAATTATCACTGCTGATGTGCTATGCTACTGATGGGTGTAGTAGGGCCTTAATCCAGTTTATAAGTAGGTGTTTATAAACACATTTTAAATGGGTCGGACGAATTGCCCGGTTTTTATCTTTTCGGA